ATCTGAGTTAGTAAACAATGACTCTGATTTCTTGATTCTACATAAATATATTACTTCCTGGTAGAACAAAATATAATTGTAGAATCAATTGACCAAGAAGAAAAAGTAATTTGAATTAAACATGAAGCTATTTTGCCAAAGAGCTTGAGAGGCCAGAATCTTGTTTCCAAAACTCATCAAGAGTTTGTTCTGAACACTGGAAATAAAATGTTGCTTTTACTTATGGAAGCCTTGAGGGTAAGAGGTAAAGTAAACATGTCATCAGAATGGGCCTAGAACATCAGTGGCAGTTTTCTTTCCTTGATAGTAATGATATGGTCTCTTTATACGAAGCCTGGGGAAAACCCAACTCATGCCCAAATAAAAGTGGTTCCATTCCAGTTCATGACAGCCCCAGACCAAACCAGGACCATCATCTGTTTTTCATAACCCAGGAGTTAAGAATGACAGGTACACTTCTAAACAGTTGAGGGAAAAAATCAAAACAAGAATAGTTCTTTCACAGCACGTGAAAAATATATGAAATACACATTTCAGCATCCATAAAACATGCTTTGGGAACACAGCTCCGTTATGTGTTCATTATTTTACATGTGATCTATGGAAACCAGTTGGCTGCTACAGCAGCCAAGCTGATTAGCTGTGACAGAGACCACAGGGCCTACAAAGCCTAAAATGTTTATTATTTGGACCAAAATTGTGCCCACCTCCGTTCTAAGTGAAACAGTAGTTGGGGGCCAGGAGCCCTGCCTGCATTCTCTTGCCAACAGAACAGACAGGAAGGTTTGGGGAAACTTCTCTGAAACCCAGTGGCCACTAATCAAAGCATTAGGAACATCCTGTGAATATTTTTTCTATTCATTGAGTAATTCATATACCACAGTTAAATGTAATAAATAAAAAATAAAAGGACATTTGCTTAAAATTTTTGAAAAAATCACATAGAACCAAAAGGAAGAGGAATCCAAGTTATAGGATTGTTCTGATTTTTCGTATTTATAGATTCATGTATTGGTAGGTTCTGATCAAATCCCCCAAACCAACAAATGGCAGGCGACTGTGCTGTGAACTGTGTTTACCTCTGGCACCTCTTGCTCCCTGGTCTCCCAGAAGGCCAGGCCAACCTTTCTCTCCACGTGCTCCCTTTCTGCCAGGTTGTCCTTCTGGGCCAGGCCTTCCTCTCTCCCCTGGAAACCCTGGAACACCAGGCAGACCCTGCGGCCCTGAAAAATGACAACATGGAATTTTAGGGACATGTTTCAAAGACTATTGTGGCTACTATATCTGTGTTTCTTGTTGTCCACTTAGAGACACAAGTCCCTACCTAATTTTGAGTTTGTATTGAAGGTCAACAGCATTATCAAGCTCAATGTTTAATAGCTCTACCCTCCCACTCAGTCTGTCTCAGTTTTCCGCCCCAAAGACCTGGAGAGCAGGCCCTCGGGTTTCTGAGTCCTGATTTAACAAAGCTTTAAAAGAACTAGGAGGTGGAGAGCTCACCCAAAGCAGGGTGAGCTTAACCTTGATCCTAGGGCTTTACTGATTCCAGCTAACCTGTCTTTGAGCAGAAGTGTTTATGGTCTCTGTGAACCTAACACCCTTACCCCTTATCCCATTTACTTACACCAAAGCATTCTGCTATTGGAGATTATAAGAGAGGACAAGAGAAGGGAGACAGTTATCAGTAAGGGAAGGGCAAAGTCAGCCTAATGTAATAATAAATTCCTCTAGTATGGTCATACTTAACAGACTTCCCTTGCCAGTGGATGTCAAAGTTATAAAACGGGGAAAAATAATGTAAACACACTACCCACCCTGTGGGCCTGGAAGACCAGGTAGTCCATCATCCCCAAAGAGGCCTGAGAGTCCTGGTGGTCCAGGGAGTCCATCTGCCCCTGGCCGTCCTGGGGCTCCAGGAAGACCCTTCATTCCCACTGGTCCAGGAGGCCCTCCATCCCCTTGCTGTCCTTTCCAGCCTGGGGCACCTGGGGAAAAAAAAAAAAAAAAAACCAGTGATGAAGATGTATGAAGAATGAAAACTGGTTTCTTGCACAGGCAGGAAAAAAAATATATTCAGTAGCTTAAAATATGTGTCTATGGGCAATAAAACAGTGTTCTTATGTGCCGTCAAGTCGGACCTGACTCATAGCGACCCCTCCTTGGGTTTCCGAGGCAGTATCACTATGGAAGTAGGATTGCCCAACCTTCCTTCCGAGGAGTGGCTGGTGGGTTTGAACCGCCAGCCTTCTGGTTAGCAGTCAAGTGCTTTAGGCACTATGTTACCAGAGCTCCTAAATAAAATAGTAGTCATCAGTTAACACAGCACCAGCCACTTTCCACCAGTCTAAGCCAGTTAACACTGAGTTGTTTCTGACTCATGGTAATCCCATGTGTACAGAGCAGAGCTGCTCCCTAGGATTTCCATGGCTGAGACCTTTGGAAGCAGAGGGCCAGGCCTACCTTCCAAGGCACCTCTGAGTGAATCTGAACCGCCAACCTTCTGGTTAGTCGTCAAGTGCATATAATTGACTGGACCACTCAGGGATTCCCAGAGACACTCAGGGCTCAGAGTCCATCAGTCTATGAATCTATTTTTCTGGCTGTTATAACAGCATATTGATTAAGGGGTACTGAGTTTCTGTCTGAGCTGAAGTGAAACTTCTGGGAGTGGACAGTGGTGACAGCAGCACAACATGATGGATGCGGTTAATACCAGTGAACTGCACACTTAGAAATGGTTGAAACGATTCATACCAGTGAACTGCACACTTAGAAATGGTTGAAACGAAAACCATTAACATATATTCTACCACATAAAGCTTTTCAAAAACAAGAATAAATCACTTGAATAAATATTAACCAATTATTTTTTAAAAAACGGCACATGGAAGGGGTGAAGAAACAAAATGTTATATGTTTGTATTTATGGTGGGGTGAGGAACAACTCATAGAAGGAAATAACTTTCGAGGTGCTTCCTGAAGCTCTGGCAGACTCATTGTGATGAGGGAATTGTAGAAACCAGAGCAACATCACCTAGTATTACTATGGCTAGAAATGCAGCGGGTTTTGTTCCCATCTTGGGTTGATCCTGTAGGAGTGCATCTTCCTGAATTTGGATAAAAAGTGATAGGATTTAAATAGCAGAGTTGATAATCTGGAAGGTGAAAGGAAGATCGAATTGGAAACAGCCCACTGGTGCCCTGCACTGGGAGACACACTGTGGGTCTCCTTCACTCGTACCTGTCTAGTTGGATTTGCCAAGAAAGCAAGACCTTGACTACCCTTTCCACCACCTGTCCATCAGTCTGAAGTCGGTGGTTGCTTGTGTGTTGTTAGAAGATATGCCACTAGTATTTCAAATACCAGCAGAGTCATCCAGGGGGGAGAGGTTTCAGAGAAGCTTCCAGAACAAGACAGAGTAGGAAGAAAAGCCTACTGGTCCACTTCTGAAAATGAGCCAGTGAAAACCCAATGGATCGCAACAGGCCTCTATCATCCAATAGAGTGCTGGAAGCTGAGCCCCTAGGTTGGAAGTCACTCAAACTACATAGCAGCCACAACGATGAACTTGACCATGCCAAAGATCCTGAAGATGGTGGAGGTCTGGACAACGCTTTGTCCTGTCGTACACACAGCCGCATGAGTTGGAGCTGACTTCATAGCAATTAACAACAACGAAGACAACTCTTGCACTGGGCCCTTTGGCAAAGTTGTGGTTGTAGTGACCAACTTTGACAGATGAGATAACATCTCCCCTCAGACAAAAAGCAAGGTTTCTTTGTAGGTGGCTTTAAAGTAGTGGGCTCCTCACCTAGCCCTGTCTTCATTGCCCCTGTGAACAATGAAGGGTAACATGAATGGGACTTGGGGGACATTGGGAGCTGACACAAACTAGCATGAAGCTTATGCTACTTGCTGTGCCAGGAGTAATCAAGTCCTTTCTTTCCGACCCAGGAGTCTTGCTTCTTCTGCCAGTATCCACAAAATAGCAACAGACTAGCTAATAATTTGTAAGAAGAGTGAAACGCCAGACCCTTGCAGTTCTGACACCTGCTGACACTTACCTGGACCACCTGGAATCCCGGGGAGTCCTGGCTGCCCTGGTGGCCCTGGAGCACCTCTTTCACAGGAATGGCCAGGCAGGCCTGGAATACCTGGAAAGCCAGCACTTCCTGCTCTGCCTTTAGGACCCTTGAGACCTGGAATTCCTGGAGGGCCCATTGGCCCTGAAATGACACAACACATTCATGGCACAAAACTACAGAGATGGGCTACAATACATTGTTCACGCAGATCAGTATCAGATGAAAACATTTTGATCCTGGCTCAGAGCTCCCTTGACTTAAGACTCAGTAAGTTTTCTTATCATGAACTGTAGTGAGCAATAAAATGACTGACTTAACTACATGTTACAAAGTGTGATCCTTGCTAAGGTTATGTAGGCAACAAAGATGTCACTGTGCCAATCAAAACACATATGGTTCTTCCTGATTTTAATTAACTTCCAACTTTACAGCAGGCTTTTTGTCAACTCTCTCTGATACTTCCAAACCCAGTTCACTTTGTATATGAATTTTCTCTTTGAGAGATATTTCATCATTTGCACTCTTAAATGAATATTTATTGGAAAGGCAGTGTCTTCAAATCAAAAGAAATCCCAATAGAAAAATAAAGCCCCTGAAAATCTATTGTTTTTTTAATCTTCATTGTGTTTTGGTTCAGTTGTGTACATTTAAAAAATAGTAATTACAGAGAACATTCAGCTGTTGACTTCCTTCACATTACATGTCAATCTGCAAATGTTTTCTATCTTGTCCTGCAACTGTTTTCTATCTTGTTATCTTTACAAATAAGATTTTAATTGCTGATAGCTACATCTATATAGATACACAATCAAAGGATATATGTATCTGTATTTGTTTTCCTACTTAATCTTCCTTATTGTTTCCAATTGTTCCTCTAATGTGGACAATACCACAAGATCCTTTTTCTCTCTCCACCGTTCATCACTTCCACTAGGATGCATTTTCACAAGTGGAATTCCTGGGTCAAAATTATTTTCATTGCTTCTTGCATCATCCCTTACATTCCAAGGAACTGTTCCTTTGTTGTAAACAGACTTACAATCTACCCTGCAAGCTCTCTAAGGACAAGGATGGTGGCTTTTCCCCACCCCTTCCTGTTTGCCCTGTGGTTTAGTAGATGCTGATAAACCCTGGCCTCGCCACTGGTACAGAAGAGCCAGGACACTGTCAACACCTTGCCTGAGGCCCCATCTTGATCACAATCACCCAGGTGCTTATGCAGACAGACATTTGGGCTCACCCCAGAAGTAATGAATCAGAATTCCTGAGACTGGGACCCAAACAACTGCGATTTTAATGCTTCCCTCCCACTCCATCCCAGGGTGAATTTTAAGTACATTACCATCTGAAATACCACCTCGCAGACCCAAGAAGGGGTCACTATGAGTCAGAAAAATGACTCGATGGCAGTGAGTTTGGGTGGGTTTTTTTTTTTTTTTTTTTGACCATCTGAAAAGCTTTGCTGTGGGTCCTGGAGAATTCTTAGTTTCTTTCAGGAAAGGGTGTGACTCACTTCCCAAGGCCATCTTCCCACCTCCAGAGTCCCGCTGCCCTGTCTGTGGGTCCCATAAAAATGAAAACTCCTCCATCCTGTCACCTGCCCAATACAACTTGTCCACTGGGGCTCAGCTCTTCCCACATCTCCTAGGAAGCTTCCCCTGGACTCTTGCCCACACTGCTCTGCCCCTTGGGCTACTTGGCTTCTTACAACCTGCCCTACCCACCTTCAACCTGGCCATGGCAGTGTGCAAGTTACACTGTCCTGTTCCTTCTGAGCTTTACAGCAGGAACATACTGTCCTAAGTTCACAGCAGGCAGAGGTTCAGGAGGTGCTGAATCAAACTGAGTTGACTGAGCCCCACTGAGCAGCCTTGGATTTAAAAACAGCCAATAAAATGCAAATGCAACACCCAGACACATGTTATTTTAAATGCAATCAGTGCTCAGCTGTGAGGGAAAGTGCTTGGATGGAAACTTTACATCCTACATTTAACACGTGATAGTCCAAATGTTCTTCAGTGACCTTTCAGAATTTCGCCACTTTGCTGATGACTCAGATAGCACAGATCTCATACCTGCAGCCCCTGGATGTCCAACATCACCTCTGGGTCCTTTTATCCCTGGCACTCCTGAAAGACCCCTCTTTCCTGGAGGTCCTGGGGGGCCATAAGCAGGGTCACCTGGGATTCCTTTCTGACCGTTCATGCCAGGTAAGCCAGGAGGGCCTGGAGGCCCAATAGGGGAGTACCCCTTTTCACCTCCAAAACCTGGATCTCCCATGTCACCATGAAAACCTATTTAACGATAACAAATTAAATTTTAAATCTTCATGTATAGAACAAATACAAACAGAAGACAAGTACTTTGATTAAAAAAAAGGCATTTTAAAAATACAGGGCTACTTTCTAAAATTCTCAGTTTCTTAGTAGGTGTTAGGGATTGAAGTGTCCCCAAGAAATATGTGTCAACTTGACTAGGCTGTGATTCTCAGTATTATGTGATTGTCCTCCATTTGGTGGTCTGATGTAATTATGCCATGTGTTGTAAATTCTGACTTCCATGGTGTTAATGAGGCAGGATCAGTGGCAGTTATGGTAATGAAGCAGGATGCCATCTACAGGATTAGGTGGTATCTTGAGTCCATCTTTTTTCAGATATAAAAGAGATTAAACAAGTGAGCAGAGATCAGAGGCACTTTGTATCACCAAGAAAGAAGAGCCAGGGGTGGAGAGTATCCTTTGAACCCAGGAAGCCTGTGCTGAGAAACTCCTAGACTCAGGGGAAGAGTGATAACAAGGACCTTCCCTCAGAGTCAACAGAGAGAAACCCTTCCCCTGGAGTTGGCACCCTGAGTTCAGACTTTTAGTCTCCTGGAGTGGGAGAGAATAAATTGTTGGTTGAAGTCATCACCTTGTAGTATTTCTGTTATAGCAGCATTAGAGAACTAGATAATAGGTAATGTGTTTGCCAATGTTTGTGGGAAAAGAAATTCTAATTTTATATTTCCTATAAGCCAGTAAAGTTTCCCTAATTGCTATCATTTACCAGCAAGCATTCTGTCTGATTGGGCAATTTTTATGATAAAATAGAATAATAATAGCCTGTAACTCATGCTTCAAAGTGGAAGACCCCTGGCAACTTAGGAAATTACCATACCTAAGATATTAAAGCACAGCGAAGGGTCTAATGTGTCTACACAAACCAGTCCCTCCATTACCCAGGGACCCCGGGCCATTTCCTGACTGAAGCCATGTTTTCAGAGGTATTTGAAAGCTCCCGACATACATTTCCCAGTGCAGGAAAAATGTTTCATTTACCAGGCGGGCCTGGTATGTTGGATATTCCTGGTTTGCCACGTCGGCCTTTTTGCCCATCAAAACACCTCGGCCCAGGAGCACCCTGGGAACCTGGAAATCCCTTTGGACCTAAACAGCAACGAGAAGAAAATGTAGACTCAATAAACAATATCAGTATCAAAGCACAGGCTCAATAAAACACAAATCAAATGAAGACAGAATGAGGTAAATTTTTCCCTCAAAAATCTGTGTTACATCTTTTTAGAGTGCTTCCACTTCATAGAAGGAAAGATGGTGTGTCTGGTTTAAGTAATTATTTTATGAGTCATGTGTCCAAATGAAATGTTTTATATGTTAAGGTACTTTCTCAGAAACCATACAGTAATGGGTTTTTCCTTAAAGTATTTGGAATATACACTGCTATTCAAATAAACTCTCTGGTAACTTCTCATGCTAGGTCTTTGTTATGGATTGAATTGTGTCCCTCAGAAAGATATGTTGAAGTCTTAATCCCAGGTACCAGTGGAAATGGCCTGGTTTTGAAATAAGGTCTTCAAAGATGGTATCATTAACACAAGGTCATACTGAAGTAGGGTGAGCCTTAATCCAATCTGAATGCTGTCCTTATAAAAAAGAGACAGAGACAGACAGACAAAGGGAAAATGGCCCAGTGACAACAGTTACATTGTAGCTGCAACCAAGAAGCCAGGAGAGACTGGAAGGACCTTCCCCTAGAGCCTTGGAAAGAACATGGCCCTGGCCACACCTTGAATTTGGACTCCTAGCCTCCAAAGCTATGAGACATTGAATTTCTGGTCACTGCTATAATGTTTAATTTGTTTGACTGGACGTGTAAACACTGTCTTGATGGAATTTTACTTAGCTGTTTTGCCTTCAGGAGCTCTGGTGGTACTGAGGTTTAAGCACTAGACTACTAACCAAAAGGTCAGCTGTTCAAACCCACCAGCTGCTCCATGGGAGAAAGGTGAGTTAATTTGCTTCCATACAGATTCACAGCCTTGGAAACCCTATGGAACACTTCTACTCTGCCCTACAGGGTCGCTATGGATCTGAATCAACTTGATGGCAGTGGGTTTGGTGGGTTTGGTTTGGGTTTGGTTTTGCCTTAGCTATAAGAACTTTGTTTAGAAGAGAGGCTCACTGTAGCTCACTTTTCATGATTTCACTTGACTTTCTGCCACAAAAACATTCAAATTACTTTTCTGACCTTTAAGTTCATAAAAGCTACCCACTTAGTGGTATTTTGTTACAGCAGCCCTATGAAACCAGTACAGTCTCAAACACAAATACACAAGCACAGACCATCACTGGAGAAGGCAAGGGGTGGAGGCCTGTGTCTGGCAGGCTGAGAAAGTTTCCAGATAAAGGCCAAATCTATTTCCCTGCACCTTACTGCATTTGCCCTTAAATGGAGCACAGACAAAAAGCACCTGTAAAAGGAACTGACTTATTTAACAACCTTTTGTCATTTACAGGCATTGTAATATCTATGAATTATCTCAGCTAAAATAACTTCTAAATCATAGGGTGGAAGGAGGTACAACTGCCAACTTAAAGCTTGAGTGTTCGCTTCCGTTGGCTCTGACTTGCGATGACCTAATGTAAAAGAGGACAGACTTGCCTGGCCCTGCACAGCTTCATGATGGCAGGTATGTCTGAGACCACTGCTGCGGCCATTTTGTCAGTCTACCTCACAGAAGGTCTCCCTGGCCTTGGCTGGCCCTCCACTTTACCAAACGTGAAGTTGGTCCTTCCTAATGATGCATCCAAAGTAAGTGAGCTGAAGTTTCAGACAATATTCTGTGACCTATAGAGTTTTCACTGGCTTATCTTCTGAAGGAAAGGAGTGAATGACCACAGATGTTGTTTTCCCATAGTCCTTCAAACCCTTCTAAGAATTTTAGAAATATCCTAACCAGTTAACTGAGGATTGGCTATTGTTTCATCTGTTTTGTGATTCTTTTACTAGCAGAAATATGTAAGACAATAACTTCTCACTGATCCTACCTGGAGGTCCATCCAAACCTGGAGGGCCTGGCCTCCCTGGGTAGGTTATGTTACAAGTAATCGTAGTACCTGGGATGAGAAAAGAAAAAGTGTCAGTCACATAATTGACAGACCAATGCAACCTGTGCTTCAATGACACTAACCTTGCTCAAAGTCCCCTTCAGGAGTATATGTACAACTCAAATGGAAAGGACACCCCAGCAGCACAGATTACACAGTTTTAAACAGAATTTCTACAAGAGCTGTCCTGCAATCTGAATTTCACCTGTCAGAACCATTACAAATAGAATGGGAATATGAAAAATATTGGTTCCAAGAATCATCAGTTTCAAGAATCTAGAAAACATCACGTATTTTTTAGGCTCCTGGATAGTTACAATGGCGAAAGAAGCTTGGATAAATCATGAAATATAGCAGCAACCCCCAGCCCTGGGCTCAGAAGATCTGGGTCCTAGTTTAGACTTGGGAAATTATACAAATGAGGGGGATGGGCTAGATATTAATAAAAGCTGCATTGACTAAGAGCCTGCCTTGGGATAGGTGATTCCAATATACTGTCTCTTGTTTTCCTAAGAAATATGCCATGAGTTATTATTATGCCCCTTTGAAACCCACCAGCCACTCCTCAGAAGGAAGGTTGGGCAATCTACTTCCATAGAGATACCGCCTTGGAAACCCAAGGAAGGGTCTCTATGAGTTGGATCTGACTCCATGGCAGTGAGTTTGGTTTTTTTGGTTTTTCAAAAGTGGTGAAGAAAATAAGACAACTGACTGCTGTCTCTGAGATCCCTTCTTCTAAAATACAATGTTTCTGTTTTATAGTAGAAAAAAAATCAGATATTACATCATATGCTTTCTAACCAGAAAGCATTTAAGAGAAATAATCATTTTAGATTTTGATGCTTCCCAGCCCGTGATCTTAAACCTTATCAAATACCAAGCTATTTGCCTTTTTATGTAGTCAAAGCAAGAGGCATATTTATTTTATTCTAAAATTCCACAGTTAAGAATGCAGACCAAGGAACAAGTACAGTCTGTAAAGGAAAAGAACATCTTAAATAAACCTTGTTCCCCATCTTTAAAATCTTCACAACAACCAAAAATTATGTGGTTACACAGGTAAATATGTATGCATGTGTGTGTAGAAAGGTATATGTGGCATAT